TAAACCTTCTCATGCTTTGGACGCAAATTCCGCGTGGGTTAATTTTCATCTGTACCTTTGAGAAGTTAGAGCTGATTGGAAATGTGTCTTTTAGGAGCTTCCAACCGTCCACAGCTCCAGTTCCGACGCAAGACACTGTTCATGCCACTCCATCTTCTTCCCTTGATCAGGTTTCGTCGCACAACGTTGCGTCAGTGTCTCAAAAAAGCCCTCAACAAAAAGAAACACGTTTTCAAGCCCAGGGAGAAAGTCCCGAGGAAAATCGAGAGCTAGCTCTGGTAGAAGCCTTTGAGAAGGGAAACAAAGAAAATACGGCCAAAAGTGGAGAAACCGGCAAGGTGCAGGGAACAAAGATATCACAGCAACCACCGAGTGCGTCAATTGCAGCAGAAAAACACGATACTCTGGTACCGTAGGTGTAGTCTTCCATAAAGATCTCGACTCCTTTTGAACCGAGTCTCAACATTGAAAGGTTATTCCTCCCTCCTGACTCGTTAGTCCAGGTGATCAGTCTTCAGATAATATAATCTCACCAAACCAACATCCATCGGCTTCATCTCCATTGGAATCGTCAAAATCTTTACAAGTACATTCCGAACAGCAAGAATGGCAAGTCTATTCCAAGAAAAACAGAAAGGCTGCAAAATACCTACAATCAAAAGGTGGGGTCAAATTGGATGAACATGCCCCTCCGAACTATGGAGCCGAGAAGATTCGACTGGCCGAAGCCCAAAATATAAAAGACATGAACCTGCAAGACTCGCGAGAAGAGGGATTCAAGGTATTGCAATACATATCTAATCATGAGCTCCAAATCTCGTCAAAAACGTTCAAACAGCCACCGGCTGATCAAATTCCAAATTGTCTGGCTGATAACAGAGTTTTGATGTGGAAGAAGGGAGCCCCGGAGACCTAAAGACATCCAAATCACAGGCAAACCTAGATGCGGAAAAATCAGCCACGGTAAAGAGTGGTGAACACAAGAAAAAGAGTAAAAAAAATAAAAAGAAAGGTCCAAAACAATCTAGTAAGTCTAGAAGGCAGATGAAACGTTTTCGAATAGATCAAATGTGCGATCAAATCTATTAATCTGATCTTGATCTTTTTGAAGAGGCTGAGCCGTTGAATGATGATGAAGTTTTGAATGCCGCGGATCATTTGACGCCCGAGAGCAAATTGATGATTCAGAAAGGTATATGGGAAATGGGTAAATCCGACTTGCGCTCTCATCCATCACCCTTTAAACTTCCCAATCGGTGACCCTAACCGTTTCGCATGCATTTTCTACAAATCCAGTCAAAGGCGACGATCCGACACCCTTGTTAGAGGTCGAACTCAACCTTCCGATATACAATCAAATCTTCGCGGTAGACGCCCACTTGACTCCCATACGATCACATTTGATTGATCAAATAATCGATCAATACCGGGATGATTTGGCAGCGAAAGTTTCAATTCAAGAAGCAACCCGCAGGTTCGTCGCTCTACAGATGCAAGTTCTCGAAGAAACCCGACTTGAAAATTGGAAGGTCCAAAAAGAAAGTATGGGGCAACCTGTGAAGGAGATTATGAAGATGTTGAAAGGAGATGAGAGGTGGCCAGTGTTCTATGATGCGAAACCAGATGACTGGAGATTGCTTGAAAAAAAGATCTCTGAGCTCACTGATCAATCTCGACGTCAGCTAGAGTCGGCTATGCCCCAAGCTTTACGATCCAATCGACTTGCGACGATTTATGCTTCCGGGCAGGCCAACAAGAAGGAACACGGAATGATGTATAACGAAAAGGATCTTGAATATTGGACGAGACAAGGGGTATCTGCCCCTCTTTTGATAAGAGTTGGGGATGTGCTTGACCTGACTGCTCCGAAAGCTCATTGGGATAATCTTCCAGAGAAAGAGATAGAATCAAAAGCTATCAATTTCTATAACTGTATAAGAGGGGAAATAGCTGCGGGTAATCGACTGATCTACAGAGAAGCGATGCATTGGTACCTCTCAGGAGCTAGATTGTTAATTCTTCAAGATCCAAAGTACTCAGAAATATTTGATTCTCGTCTGAAAATGTTGGTTAAATTTGGAGAAAATCAAATGACAATCTATAATCCTACGCCTGGGATCCAAGACCAGAGATTAGTGAAGTTAGCGGATGAGAAGGACCGGGATTTTTCTGGGGCAGAAGATCAATTTCTCACATTCGCTGAACACATGATTGGCACTCACTTTGGTATTCCATCGGAAAAAATACTCGAGTTCACAAGGAGCCTCAGATTAAAAAATGCAGTATTGAAAGCTCAAGCCAACAGGTCAAGAGGTGGGACAGATCGAATCAAACCCGGAATCACTTGGCCTAAGTCTAAGTCAACTCCAAGGGTGATGGAAGCTCTTAAATCACAATTTCGTGATTTCTTCACCTATTTGGAAATTCCGTTTAATGATCATTGAATTCCCATATCATAATCACATTAGTATTTTTTTTTCGCTTCTAAGCAGCTCTTAGTCTTTGTTTTTTGATGTTGACATCTTTTCAAACACATCATGTAGTAAACTTTGGCAGATGATGACTCGAGTTTTGAAATCTGTCAAAACACCACGAAACAGATTGCACATGGTTGAAAACCCCTGAATTTTAAATCCCAGCTCTTATGGAAGAAATTTGACGATGATATTGTCGCTGGAGATCCAATTAGCTTGAGGTCACAGAGTAAAGGTCTTTGTTGATGTTCAATCGACGACAAAAACAAAAGATACAAATTGAAATAAAACAAGAGGAGGTATAACAAAGTATAATCGGAAAATGAAATGATTGAGAAGAGGAGAAGGAAATCACCCGTAAAAGAGAAATGAAAGAGAAGGATGATCACATTAAATTAACCCCTACCAATTCGATCAAGAAGGATAGAGAGAGATTTATACACAATAGACGGTTCATGAGTACGAGTTCTCTTTTCCTTATCTTTGGAAAGAGACCTTATGATTTTTTTCCTTGGATCTTCATCATTGTCAGTTGAATTGATACAATGCTGTGTTGGCGATAGATTTCTTGATTCTTGTATCAGTCCTCAAATCAGTTGGTTTGATTTCCTTGCAAGAGGATTTTCGGATCCGGTCAGAAAGCCCATGATGATGTTGCAAAATGAGTCTTGAGTGTGATATGATAAAATTAAAAGAAAGTGGCACAATATTAATAAGACTGGGCTAGAAATCTTATCAAGTCCAATTCTGGAAAGAGAAGACAGATCAAGTTATAGATGCAGTTGAGATGGAAAAAAATCAATGAGAGAGCCTCTTATTGAGAATAACACAAAATTGGAAACTCTACTGGCTTCAGTGGTCACTAACCCATTATGTTCATATAGCAAACCTCAGTCAATAGCAAAACAATTTGTAGTCACTTCCATATTGACGCCCCTCAAAGACAAAGCTCACTTCATGTCATGCATCCTTTGAATTGAAATCAGACACAATTTCCACTCAGTTGATAGGGAAGTAAGAGATTTGAAAAAAAAACTGGAGAACTCAGGTGGAAGACTAGCTTCAAGTACTCCACAAACCTTGGCAAAGGGTTGTGTGTCAGCAATGGTACATCAGCATTCTGCAGGAATATGTGCACTATAATGCTGTCTATGAGCAGTATGATACTACCGTCCCATTCTTTGGATAGAATAGCTCTATGTCTCTGTTTACTCTGATTTTTTCTATAAACGACACCACCACAACCATTTGCTGCCGTTGATTAGTATTTATTCAGGCCTCGCGTGCTCCTCAAATTTCATATTACCTCAATCCTTTTATTTATTTATTCTCAAGGCTTTTATTTATTCTCAAAGCTTTTCCCTGATGTATTTTCCACCCTTTTTTTCCCTTTGGTGTTGCAATGTAAATAACATGTCTCGTGAAGTGAAAAGGAAACAAGTGAGTGAGTGATCATATAAGTTTACCGTGATCCGCATAAAGTTGCGATCTCGATACGGTCCCTTTTGTCCTGGAATCTTCATTCAACTGATTCGAATGGATCATGATAGTTTTCGTTCCTTCAGTTTCAGTTCATCATCTGACCCACAGCGTTAGCTGAATCACTCTTGAGAGAGGTAAGTAAATTGAGGTTCAAAGACTTGATTACAACCATCATCGCACGGAAATTGAAGCATTGCCGGGGTCACCTCGCCGGGTTTCGAGGATTTGATTTTCATCTTTTCCACGCTCAACGAGAGTTGTAGTTGAACTAAACCCAAAAAAGTCAACATCAGGCTCTTGATGATTCATTGAAGGCCTAGACAGTTCTCTTAAACCAAAGGCTTACGTATGTTTATATCAAGTGAGTTGGTTTTACGTCCCTAGAACACCATGTACGATTACCATCTCATCTTCTGCCACCAAGAGTCCCTTCTCAATGGAACTGAATCAATCATCTGAATAGAATCTTGAACCTCTCTTTCAAGTAAAAGTTTTCGATTTTCTAATCCTTCAAGATTACGTTCATCCCTTAATTTGTGTTTAAGAAGTTTTAATCCAGTATAAGTCGTAAGAGCCAAAACGAGACAATGAAGCATTGGAGGTACGAATTGTTTATAGAATAGTTTATGTCGATTTGGATTTGAAGATAAAGTTTGATGATGTTGATTCATGATGGATCTGAGTTAGAAATTCTGACCTTCAAGCGATTCCCTTTGAAAGGTTCAAGAATTCTTCTTTCGGTCCGATTTTCAACATCAGTACTCGGTTTAAATAGACTCGATCCAATCATCGGACACGATTCGGTACTCTGCGTGGACCTGCACCCACCCATGATCACTCATGATGATCATTCTCATCAAGAGAAGGGTCGAATGCGCATCAATTCATGAAGTCACATTGCATGCATCATGATGACTTCACTCAAGTAAACAAAGCTCTTCACATCCACCCAAGAGTGTAATTCGGTTGGGCAATAACACACACTCGGAGCGACACAATCAGAATGGCCGCACAAGCCACCGAGGAGCAGGGAGAAAAAGTATATTCCGAATACGGGAATCGAACCCGTCTCTCCCGCGCCCTTGCCTGAAAGGCGGAAATGCTAGCCGATACACCAATTCGGAGGTACAAGCTCAGGTACTTTCAAAAGCTAAGACCTGATAGGATTGTGGGAAACGCAGTGGCTGCGCCCAGTGAGGGTCTCGCTGCGCAGCAAAACCTGATCACGATTGACCACTCAAGTGAAAGGTGGTGATCTCAACCGAAAAATAGATTGCCATCGAGAAGAAACGAGGAATCGAAGCTAAATGTCATCGATTGGAACTCAGACTGATAGTCTAACAAGTCAATGTAATGGAATGGATCATCCTCAGGTTAGCCGTGTTTTGATCGATCCAGGTTTTGGAAACTTTTCTCGAGGTGATTTTAAAATGTAATGGATAACTGAACGTAAGTGAAGTTCGATCTTGATGAATTCAGTTTTGTAGGATAGAAATCAAATCGATCTCTTCACTCGATGTACTCACTCATATGCGTCAAAATTCAGGTGGGCTCGAGTCTATACTAGTGAGTATTGATGAGTTTCCTAGAGAAATTGTACACGACTTGGATGTTATGCTAATCTTATTCCAATGGGATTGACAATAGCGGGTGATTCAGTACAGTCTACGGTTTTGTTGTTTTCTTTATGCAGGCCGACGGAGACCTTTATCACCTGGGCGTAGGCCGTGGTTGAGACGTACTTTATTGATCGTCTCGCTACTCTCAATCTCTCGAAAATTTCTACATCTACTTCACACCATTCGAGCCTTGATAGGCTTACCGAATCGAATCAATCTCCAGCTTCCTGATGCTGAACGTGGAAAATTAAAGACATTAGCTGAAATGATCTCTACCGGAATCGAAGCTATCGTTAGCCTGTTGGATGACCTTTCATTACTACGACTTCTTCCAAGCCGATATAATCGATCTACTAGCATTCTTCACTTCGTTAGCCTGCTCGTTCGATGGTTTGAAACTGAGTTGAAGAAAACAGAATTATGGACCACCGGTCGCACAACTCGACATGCTATGCGTATCCGCGATCAAGCTTGTGAGCGAAGCAAGACACCTTGTCCAACTCTTTCTCAAATAGATTGGGAAAACCTCTCTGCCAGTGAAAGAGCACGACTGGAGCGTTCAATTGCTCGTGAACGCCGAGGAATCCTACGCGAGTGTCGTTTTGGGCTAGATCGATTATGGTGGGCTCAGATTGCTCTCGTCTGTGATGGTATATTCTCCAGTGTGTGGACCTCTCTCTTCTACAGATTTGACGCGTCAATCAATATCTGAAGTTTACCGCGGTAGTGTATGACGTGCTGGAGATGCAGGCTCGTGGACAGGGTGTTAGGGCTGCTACAGGTTGCGCGAGCGCTTGGATCAGGTGTGTTAGCCAGTTATCCTCTCCACTTCTGATCACAAACCAATCGATTTTCAATAGTTTTAAAGAAAGCTATCAAGATTCGGCCCGAGCACTTTATCATGCTCAACCCATTACCAGGTTATGGTAAATGATGAGTCAGGTTAGAAATTTGGCTTCAGACTCATGATTCGATTTGTGAGCTTGCTAACTCTGAGACTTTTTTTAAATTCTGAAGGATTGGTTATCTCGATTTACATCGTCATTTCAAATTAGAAGCTTTTAGCATACGTCTTTTCACATTCTTGGATGTCACTTTGTATTAGTCTTTTCTGCATTTAAAATATGATTCTTTTACCTAGATGAGTGGACTAAGGTAAGCGTTTTGTTCAGATGAAACCAGTTTTTTTGTAAAATATTGGAAATCTATTATTTTTTTCAAGTTTGGATAATTTTCTTGTTGTTTAAAAAAGTGGTAACGTACGAACTAGAAAAGATTTACATTCCTGAAAAGCATCTTATAAACTTATGATAGCGAGAGTCATCAGCCCAAAAATATGATGATCATCCATATTTCAAAAAAATTGGTGTGACTCGAGCTTCCGCTGTGCATGGGTTCATGATTGTTCTTTTTTTACACTTGCGTCCCACCACCTGCAGCCTATATAGTTGGCCTAAGTAAGGTTTCTATGAGGATCTTCATCGATCTTTGATAATTCAGGTCTACCGAAGACTCCAGCAGGTTAAAAAGATGGCTATATGTTTCGAGCCACCGGGTATTGTCCATCCATGTTAAGGAATTGTTCCAGGGATTGGGTGGGAAGGCAGATCGTATCGAGGTTGTAGAGGAGTCATGTAATTCGATGGAGCTAAACCGCTTCCCGCGTCCTCTTGAAGTGCTACCATCCATGCTTTGGTATCTCGGTCATCCCCTGAGATTCAGATACAAACTTCTGATAGGGGTCAGTGTTGTTGAACATTGCAGTTATCAGGTTTCTGTTTGATCAGTGGAAGTCTGACCAGGGGCTCTTGTATGAGAGACTGAAATACATTAAACGGAAATGTGGTTAACAAAATGCCGTTACGTGCAATGGAGTTTCAAAGCAGAGAGCAACCACGCCACAAGCACTGCCTACGTTCACTAACACCACCATCCAAAACCAATATCTTCCTTAGTTCAACTATCTCATAATGGAACATCAACAAAATCTACGTCAGAGGAATCATAAATCTGATCAAACTTCTCGTTAGTCTCTTGTCTTTCTTTGACGTTTTCTTGGACTAAAGCTAAAAAAAATTATATTCACCAGAAAACGAACCTTGCGAGTCTCATTCTCGATCATCAAGTCCTTCCAATCCTCGACCACTTACCCCTTCTGAGGCATCAGCCACTCGAACTTCTACCAGTACACGTTCATCCACGCCATTCCCAGTCCCACCCTCGAGTCATTTCAACAACTGGAAAGAAGACCTATTTGGAGACGGTCTACCGTTCTACGATTTACTAGTCTCTCTAGATGCACATCTCGATCTCTTTCGTCGTCGTACAATAGATCCAATCAAACATGAATGGGAAGCACGCGCTAGACCGATCACAGAAGAATGGAAAGCTAGAGCCAAAGAAGCTCAATTAGCCTTAGAAGCTACTTTTAATTCACATCAAAAATCCGAATCAATCACTCGATCAGATTCCATCTCAATCACCTCTTCTGGATTCTCTTTACTTTCAATTCCTTCGGGTGCATTAAGTGAAGCTCAAAAATTAGCCTTGAAAACTTCGAGTGAACGTGAACGTGAATTAAGAGATTATGCTGAACGTGAATTGAGAGAGTTTAAGGAGAAATTAAGACTTAGGCGTGATCAAATTCAAAGAACATGGAATGATGCCAAGAGTGGGTTTTCATCCCTTTTTTTGATTTTTTGTTTACACGAAAACTTTTAGAGCTGAAGAAATGAAACTGATCGGATGGATTCCTTGATCCTCTTATATGAATTTCAGCGGTGTCGCTACGTGAAAAGGCTTCGTTTTTCTTCAGCGTGAACAATGTACTAGGAACTGCTCTGTTGCTAGCTTTTTGGCCAGAATACATTCCACTGTCCTATTCACTTCAACTAGCTTACTAGTTAAGTCTCGACGTTTATGTTTTCAACTCATCTACATTGTAAAAAGCTCATCCCATTGATCAATCATCATCCGACTTTGATTGTACAGTCTTCCACTTCGAATATACACATATCGAAAACAAGCATATCATTACTTTCTATTCGATCTTTGTTATGTGGTCAATGGACTTAGTCTCGTGTTCCTTTGGATTTGGCCTTCGAATGTGTTACTATTTCAAGCTTGTTATGGTTTAGCACATGGTCCATCAGCTTTTGCTATTGCTACATGGAGGAACTCGTTGGTTTTCCATTCAGTTGAAAAAGTCACATCACTTTTCATTCACATGTTCGTGTTCAGATCATTTTCTATGTTTCTCTTACTTGCGAGTTAAAGTGGTTTAACTAATATGTTTACCATCTTTGATGCCTTTACTAAATTGATTCCTGATGAACTTCGCGATCAAAAGTTATCCAGCTCTGGTCTTTACAGTACTTCGGCACTTTTATCCCAATGCATCAAAACGGTATCCAGCCTTAGCCGAACTCGATACAATTTCCGTCCCTCGCATCCTCCTAATCTGTTCAACTGTACATATAGTTTGGCAAACTTTATATTACAGATATGTGATTGTTGCTCGAGCTCAAAAGATAGCAACAGGAGGTCGAACGACTTCGTTTACTTATCTGCTCAACTCACGTACTGGACTTATTTCTCGCCTTTTACAATCGATTCGTCCCGAATGGAGAGCTCATGCGTTTATGGTCGCTCAATATCTTTATACACTTTTAACTATTCTACCTTCTTTAGTTTGGTTCTTTCATTCAAAGACTCTTTCGGGTTTATTCCTTTGGGTGATGTTTTCTGTTTCGGTATGGAACGGAGCATGTCAGTAATCTTGATCCTTTTTTTTTCTCAAAATCGAAAGATTTCAAAACCTGATTTAGATTTGTCATTCATACCTTCTAGCGTTCTATATGGAAGTCTTTGGTCGTAGGTTTGAGAAAGAATTGAATGCATTAAAGAAAGAATTAGACAGCTTAAATCGAGATCCGGTGATTGTTCAACCAGAACAAACGATCATTGAAGAATCCTTAGTTGAAACTCCACCTGAATTAGAAACCAACTTGAATGAAACAAAAACACAATGAAATTTGTACATTTTTTCAAACCGTTTTACTAATTTAAGAAAAGCAATATTAATTTAGAGAGATAGAGAGAGAGAGAAAGTGGGTCAAGGTTGAATTCTTGTTTTTTTTTTGGTATATGATTGTGATCCTTTAATTCATGGCTGTAGATTTGTATTCAAATTTTCTATTATCTTTGATTTGTGAAGTTTTTTTCTTTCTATAATGTATGATCATTCTTTGGTTCTTTTGTCGTTATCATTGTCTCTTTGATCTTATCTTAGTTTAATCATTTTTGCTATTTATACATCTTATCTTTCTATCCCTTAAGCATCAACACTTCAACTGTTTTCTCTTTTTCTTATATACATGCATAGATTCGGTATAGGGTTTGTTAAACTTAGAGTAAAATCATCCAATCTTTTCTTGGAATATCTGCTTCATCATTGACAAAAGTGGATATTTTTGAAGCGGTCTTGATGAACTCCCACCTGCAAT